ACCCCTGGGCTCTCACTTGTGGGGTGCCTCAGGGTTCTGTCCTCTCCCCATGCTTTTCAACATTTACATGCAGCCGCTGGGAGAGATCATCAGGAGGTTTGGGCTGGGTGTTCATCAGTATGCGGATGATACCCAGCTCTACCTCTCTTTTAAATCAGAACCAGTGAAGGCGGTGAAGGTCCTGTGTGAGTGTCTGGAGGTGGTTGGAGGATGGATAGCGGCTAACAGATTGAGGTTGAATCCTGACAAGACAGAAGTACTGTTTTTGGGGGACAGGAGGCGGGCAGGTGTGGAGGATTCCCTGGTCCTGAATGGGGTAACTGTGCCCCTGAAGGACCAGGTGCGCAGCCTGGGAGTCATTTTGGACTCACAGCTGTCCATGGAGGCACAGGTCAAATCTGTGTCCAGGGCAGCTGTTTACCGGCTCCATCTGGTACGTAGGCTGAGACCCTATCTGCCTGCGGACTGTCTCGCCAGAGTGGTGCATGCTCTGGTTATCTCCCGCTTGGACTACTGCAATGCACTCTACGTGGGGCTACCTTTGAAGGTGACTCGGAAACTACAACTAATCCAGAATGCGGCAGCTAGACTGGTGACTGGGGGCGGCCGCCAAGACCATATAACACCGGTCTTGAAAGACCTACATTGGCTCCCAGTACGTTTCCGAGCACAATTCAAAGTGTTGGTGCTGACCTTTAAAGCCCTAAACAGCCTCGGTCCAGTATACCTGAAGGAGCGTCTCCACCCCCATCGTTCTGCCCGGACGCTGAGGTCCAGCGCTGAGGGCCTTCTGGCGGTTCCCTCATTGCGAGAAGCAAAGCTACAGGGAACCAGGCAGAGGGCCTTCTCGGTAGTGGCGCCCGCCCTGTGGAACGCCCTTCCAGCAGATGTCAAAGCGATAAAAAACTACCTGACATTCAGAAGACATCTTAAGGCAGCCCTGTTCAGGGAAGTTTTTAACTTGTGATATTTTACTGTATTTTTTGTTTCTATGGAAGCCACCCAGAGTGGCTGGGGAGGCCCAGCCAGATGGGCGGGGTATAAATAATAAATTATTATTATTATTATTATTATTATTATTATTATTATTATTATTACACCTTTAGGTGCCAGGCAAAAATGTTCCTCTTTAAATCAGGCCTTTGCTTGGTTGACATCCTATGCCCTTTTAAAATGTGTTGGGGGGGATTACTGGGTTGTTTTTGTTTTGATTATGTATTTTGTGGTTTTATATTCTGGTGTGTTTTTCTGTGAACCCCCTAGGACCTTAGGGTATAAGGCGCTATACACTTTACTTACTTACTTACTTACTTAATAATACATAATTAGTAAGTAATAATGATGATGTTGTTGTGGTGGTGGTTGTTGATGATGATGGCAAAATCAAGCAGACAAACATCAGTTGAACTACAAAAAGAAAACTGGGGAAAATGAGGAACTAAGTTAGAACAGGGGAACTAAGAAATAAGTGACGGATGCAGCTGAACAATACATTGTCAGTTTCAATCTGCTACATTGACCTTTTTTATTTAAAAAAATAATCACAACTGACACTGATTTTCCACCATGGAATACCCTGCTAAATTAATTTAGAACGATAGGATTTCCCATTCCCCACCTAAGGATTTCCTGATTATCTAGCAATTCTATTGTAGTCACAGAAGGAGGAATGGGGGTGGCTGCATTAACCACATGATCCGAGTACCGCTTTCCAAAATTAGATGTCATGTTTTGCTTCCAGTGTGTTACGTGGCTTTCAACCATATTACTTATAACTGTACTACTCCGGTGTAAATAGGCTGTGGGTGGAAGATATGGACTTTGTTTCGTTCAGGCGGGGCACCAGTGATACACAGTTCAGGACTCTTTTTCCCCACTACAATTGCGTTATCAGCCTCTCATAACTGTCAACTTTCTTCCTGTGTCTCTTTTTGCCGCCACAGCCAATTCTGTTTTTAACAACACCAGGCAGAAACCCAAAAGGTGCCGCTTTTCTCGAAACGGAGGGGAGGGAGGAGCTGTCTTCCTGTCACAGAACTCTTACATTTTCAGGACAGGCAGATGCACAAACATGCAAATCGTATACTATAGGTTTTTTACTCCATGTAATCGTATGAGCAACAGCAGGCAGGATAAATGCTTGTGTCCATAGCTGATTTATAAAAGCTATTGTTAATTTATAAAAGGAAGCTTAAAAACTTTGCATACAAGCTGCAGTATTTTCAAAGGGTGGAGAAACCCCTGACCCATTTTTTTAGCCTTTAGGTGTCGATTTCGCTTTTACCCTCACCTCCATCCCCATGTTACAATGTATTTTTAAGGATCAGAAGCAAATCCCTTGCCTGGAGAAGGTCCCTGCATCAGTCTCTGGCAATCGCAAAGTGGTTTAACAGTCGGTCTCCCCTTCCCATGGGAAACAGGGAACTCTCAGCACACTCCACAACTCCCATAATTCTCTGGGGGAAGAAGACATGATGGTTTAAAGTACTTTGGAGAGACACACTAACCAGATAAGCCCCTAGGGGTCAGTACAACTATAGTAAAATTAACCTATGGCATTCCACTATGGGGCTCTACAAATCAGCTGCAGCTAACAATTGCAAAACCTTTCCCAAAGAGTTGTACCTGCTTCTTGCTGATATATATATATAGAGAGAGTTAAATTTTCTGTTTTAAAATACTCATTTTAACACCCTTAAAATACCAATGACTTTCCTTCTTCTCTTTCCATGGTTCATATTGCGTATCATATACCCCTGCATATTTTACAAAAACTAAACCATTATTGCATCCATCAAAACTTATTTACACTGTTGAAATTATCTTAATGTTGCCAGCGTTTTCAGCTGTACACAGTTATTTCCCATATATTCAATAAACATTTCCCAATCTTTTCTTCTCTAAATGTATGTTCTTCTTGTTCTCTTATTCTATATGTTAAGTCTGCAAGCTGCACATATTCTGTCAGCTTAAGTTGCCATTCTTCTTTAGTTGGGACCTCGCTCGTTTTCCATTTTGGGGCTAACAAAACACGGGCCGCAGGCCAGCTCTCCCTGATTTCTGACGCATACCAGCAACATCTCTGAGAGGTTACTGGGGTGAAAATGAAGCCTCTGGGGTTATTGTGACCCTGGGAAGAGCAGGTGAATGACCTTGAATGGGAGGTAAGCCTAAGGGCAACTCAGAATGAACAATAGAGACAAAGGCTACGTTGTACGGCAGGTCTGCAGAAGAGAAAACAGAAAACCATTATTAACATGGAAGCAGAATTGACTGGCAGGTGCCAATGGCATGCAGAGAGAAAGACGCAGCTACCAAAGAGAGACAGGTCCACTGCTTTCAGCTCACAGCAGTGCCTACCTTTCATTGTAAGGAGGGAACAAAAACTTCACCAGCCCAGCAACTTTCCTGTTTTCTTTTATCTTCTGGCCAGTGTTGTTTATTCTTGCACTTTGGCCTCCAGCTTGCAGGCAACAGCAGCTAATGCCCGGGAGGAAAAATGGGACACTGATTCTCTCTGGCAAAAAAAAAGGTGAGAGGATAACAGCAGGCCTTTTTTGCCCTGCTTGGGGAAGGAGATGGGAGGGTTCTAGGATCCTGCCAAAGCCCTCACACTTTCTTCCTAAAGCCAGGTGCCTCCTTACCTGCCTTTGGGAAGACAGCACAAGGACTGAGGGGGATGCCAAATTTTGGGCTCACTCAGGGTGCCATAGGACCCAAGTCCACCACAGTGGGGAGAGAAGAGCCTTGAGCTCCTGGGAGGAAAAATGGGGCGGACACACCTTATTTATTGAACTACCTGTTAGACACCACCCCTTATATATAAACCACCCATTAACAATGTCCTCTGCGCAGAACACCCAAAATTGAAAGAATAAAGTACAGTGGTACCTCGGGTTAAGAACTTAATTCGATCTGGAAGACACAAGATTTACCCACCCTGGAAGAGTGGCAGATGAAGGTGATGGACTATATGGAATTGGCGGAAATGACTGGCAGAATCCGAGACCAGGGAGAAGAGTTGGTGGAAGAAGATTGGAAGAAATTTAAAGACTATTTGCAGAAATACTGTAAAATTAATGAATGTTAAAATGATGTTGGATTGAAAATAAGTGGTTTTGGTAATAAGGTTAAAAAGAATATGCAAATATAGATAGTCATATGGATGAAAATATATAGTTATAATAGGTTAAATCACAGAGTAAAGATAAATGAAAGAGGGTAAGGATTTGCTGAAAGGATTTTGTAAACGGGAATACAAAAAGGGGAGGTGTGAGGAGGTCAAGGAAATAAGTAAATGAGCCTAAAGATATTGAAAAATGGATTTTTCTTTAAAAAAAAATTTTTAGCCATCTGTTTTTTGTATTTTGTATTTTCTTTTTTTCCTTTTTTTTTCTTCTAGGATTTTTTTTCTTTTTTTTGGTAATTTTTTGTATTTTTCTTGTTATCTTTTTTCTTTTTCTGTCTATGTTTTCTTTTTAGTTTGTTAAACCTATGTTTATTGTAAAATCCTAATAAACATTTTATTAAAAAAAAAAAGAACTTAATTCGTTCTGGAGGTTCTGGAGGTCCATTCTTAACCTGAAACTGTTCTTAACCTGAGGTACCACTTTAGCTAATGGGGCCTCTCGCTGTCACCGGCGCGTGGTTTCTGTTCTCATCCTGAGGTAAAGTTCTTAACTTCCCTATACAGGATTGCCTTCAGACGGCTAGTGGGGTGGAAGGGATTGGATAACTCCATACCCTCCAACATTTCTCCAATGAAATAGGGACATCCTAAGGAAAAGTGGGGCATTCCAGGATCAAACCAGAATTTGGGACAGCTTTTCTAAATTAGGGGACATCCCTCGAAAATAGGGACACTGGAGGTTCTGCAGTAAATTACAATCAAAACTAAAATCAGTTTAATTAATTGCACACAATGGATGAACTTAGAATCATAGAATTGGGAGGGACCATGACGGTTATCTACTTCAACTCCCTGCAATGCAGGAATCTTTTGCCCAACATGCAGCTTGAACCCACAGCCTTGAGATTAAGAGTCTCATGCTCTACTGACTGAGCCATTGACCCAGTGATGCAAGATAATTAAGCAAAACAGTGCAAACAACATTAGTATAAACATTAAATAAAGCGGTCTCCTGCCATCACATTGTTGTGACAGTCAACAAATGAATCCCAGAGTACCGTTGTGAAACTACCTGCGAAAATTCAGATCACTTACGCAACCTGTGATGAGTTGTATTTACATACCGTTTACAACGAATTGTCACGAGTAGTCAATATGGGAGTTCAGTACAATCGTCTTGACCTCCACAACTGGAGTTGTTTTGCAAAGGATGTTTACAGACTCCATGCTGCTTTGGAGTTGACTGGACTATAATCACAGACAAAATAAAGTTTGTACATGCAATATTAAATTTGGTGTATGGTTTCACTCGCTTCTTAAAAACTAGGTACCGAAATATTCCCATGGAAGCCCACGATACTTTGGCTTAACAAATGGATGAAAAGAGGCGTCACTAGAGGGATGGGATATTTTCCTATTTTGATTCTTGAAGTAAGTCTAACCAGTTCCCTGGAGTTTTGATGCCCCTGGGAAACAGATTACCCTGAACCAGATCAGCTCTGCAGAGAATTTCTCCATTCCAACCCCGATTAAATGATCCTTTCCGTAAAACCCTTAGATGTAGAGAATCCCCCTCAAGGACCGGATTTAGCAATCCTAGTCCAAATAACCCCATTGCCAAATGTCACATTTGGTCAGGTCTTTTCTGGATGTTAAGATTTTTTTTATTTTTTTTACTAAGACTGCAGTCAGAACTATTTGGACCCAACCCAAATCATTTCATGTACTTTTCAAATGCAGCTGAAATAATATAGCTAGTAAGTACATTTTAAGGAATTGTGCTCTTAAAAAGGGAGCTAATTCAGCACTGTGGTGAATTATGGCCTTTTAAAAGTTTCTTGTGGGAGTGGCTGGTTTGTTCGTTTTTTACAATTTTTTTAGCGTTCTCATTTTGTATTTTTATGTTGTGAACCAGCCTGTGATGTTCAGATGAAGGGCGGAATAAAAATTTAATACATAATAATAAAAACTGGAGGGAATCAGTTAGAGCCATTCATTTGTGTAGCATGTAGGTCCCTGATTTTTACAGGAATTTGACATCTTTTAAGATTTCAATAGATGCAATATTACACTTAGAAATGTATTATGTAAAACAGGGTGGGGAATCTGTGACCCTCCCAATCTTGTTGCCATACAATTCCCATCATCCCTTAACCTTATAATTTATTTAATTAGTATTTGCTGTTTGTTAAATTTATGTCCTACTTTCCCTCCCAAATGAGCCTAGAATGCCAAACACAAAAAATTAAAACAATACAATTTAAAATAAAATAAAAATGTATTTTTAACATTTAAAAACAATTTTAAGCATCTACGTAATGTTCACAGACAAGCAAAAGCATCTAAAACCATTTAAAATCCACTGACTCTGCAGACTGCAGCTAATATAAAATTAGCCGATCTCTCCACATACATTGAAATAAAATGTGGTCTTTAAATCTAGAAATTTATGATTTTAAGGAAAACCAATCTGAAGTTTTAAGTGCATGATTTTTAGATAATTATTTTTAGATTATAACTCTGAGGAAGGTTATGGCCCCAAATCTGCCCTATTTATTATCCTCTTCCAATTATAAGTAATGTTACACCAGCAGCACTCTTTTGTTCCGACAGTGTTTTCTGTGGCCGCAGTCCCAGACCTCACAGTTTTGTATTTTGAATGAGGGTTTCAAAATTTTAGCTGGAGAAGCATATAGTATATTTATCTAAGGTCCAGTGCTCTTTTCTTTTGTGTTATAAAAGGGCAAGGAGTAAAAAAAAGCAAACACGGTTTCCTTAATCACTGTCTACTGCTTAGAGACTCCAGAAATCTTCCTCTTTTTCCTACTTAGTTGACGGGCATCTGGTCAGCTGAAGGTTTCTTAAAAACAGTGACTCTTTTGTTAACAACCACTATGGTGTTCGAGGTGACTCAAGAAAAGAGCAAAACAAACAGAGAAAGTGATATGATATTCTTCTTGTTTGAAGAAAACAAAGACTAGGAAAGAGAGGACTTGGCATCTGTCCTAACTTTTGGGATAATCAATTTTTATTTCTTTCCCAAAAAAAGCTTCGCCACTCACATAGTAATCTGAAGCGGTACACTGGAGGAGGCAAAAGATCATTCAGGTTGGGGAGGAAAGACTAGCAAACTAGAACACAACACTGCTTCTCTGAAGCTGGGAACATTTTTCCTTATTCCCCTTGTCCAGGGGTCGGTTTTACAAAGTGCTGCCTTTGTTCTAAGTGGCCTGCCACCAAGTTCCTTCTTGGATGCTCCTGGCTCTAGGATGCAGGGTGATGGAGCTCTTATGGCATTTGGTTGTGATATCTATGGTATCTGCTGAAACTCATCTGCACCTGGCCCCTGACTAAGGTCCAAATTCAGCATTCTCTGACTGCAAACACAACCTTCTTCTTCTTCTTCTTCTTCTTCTTCTTCTTCTTCGATCACTCTTAGCCAAGTAAGATTGTCTTCCACGAACACAGTTTTAACAGTGAGTCCATAGGTGACTGTGGAGGCCAATTCTGGATCCACACGTCTTTCCACAATGGGGACATAGGTTTCCAGGTGGGAGTTGATCACGGTGAGGGTTTGCCAAGCGTGCCTTCCTCTTAGCGCGTTTCTCTCTTTCCTTCTGAGTTCGAGCGTCTTCAAAGACGATGATCAGGCATCCACACAACATGACCAGTCCAAGTTGATGTTGAAGAATCATTGCTTTGACACTGGTGATCTTTGCTTCTTCCAGTACACTGGCATTAGTTTGCCAGCCTTCCAAAGTGATGTGTAAGCATTTTTGGAGACACCGTTGATGGAATCTTTTGAGGAGCTGGAGATGCCATTTATAAGTGGTCCATGTTTCACAAGCATACAGTAAGGTTGGTAGTACAATAGTTTTGTAAACAAGCATTTTGGTTTCCCTGCAAATGTCCTGGTCCTCAAACACTCTGCACTTCAATCGGGAGAAAGCCGCACTTACAGAGCTCAGGCAATACTGGATTTCAGCATCAATGTCAGCCCTTGAGGAAAGATAACTGCCCAGGTAGGAGAAGTGATCAACATTTTACAACGTTGCACCGTTGAGTTGGATTTGTGTTGTTGCAGAGGGGTTGTTTTGTGCTTGTTGGTGCAGCACTTTGGTTTTTTGTATGTTGAGTGATAGGCCGAGCTTTTCACAAGTTTCTGCGAATATATTTACGATAGTTTGGAGGTCATCCTCTGAGTGTACCAACACAACCACTGGGATAGCTCAGTCAGTAGAGCACGAGACTCTTAATCTCAGGGTCGTGGGTTTGAGTCTCATGTTGGGCAAAAGATTCCAGCATTGCAGAGGTTTGGACCACATGTTCCTTGTTGTCCCTTCCAACTCTATAATTCTATGATGCTACAAGTGCTGTTGCACAAGCCTAAGAGTGAGAATAATGGTTGCACAATATGAAATCTAGTGCAATAGTTGAAGCATTATTTGTCCAGGGCAGGCTATTCTTACAGTACTTGAAGTCAAGAGAGTGTATTTGTTCTGAATGGAAAACAAATAATCTGTTGTTTTTAATGGCAAGCCTGCTTAATTCTTTAATTAATGGTTCTCTTTTCGAAACAGCCTCACTTTTTTTCTAATGAAATCTTGCTTTAAAGAAAGAAAGTGTTGGTTTCCATTACCCAGGCTTTGAGGGCAATCAGGTAAAAAAAAGTCTCGAAGAGTCTATTTCAAGGATTCCCATGATACCCGCAAATACGCTGAGCTAGGTTTTTCCCCCTGCTGATGGATGACATTGATCTGGAAACAAATGGGGTATGTGTAATTCAGAAGAATGGCAAGGACTACTGCATTTTCATTAATTGCTGACAGTGTAATCCCACACACAACTTACTTGCGAATAAGTTTCACTGAACTTAGGGGAATGTACTGATCAATAAACACGTGCAGGCCTATTAGTTTCATTTCTGTTTCCTGATGGAAACTTTCCAAGACAGGAACCCTTTAGAAAATATTTTTTTGGTCTCAACAAATATACAAAAATATAATTCCTTAATTGTAATTCAGTGTCCTGTCTTCTGTACCCAGCTGAGATCAAGAAAGGGAGCACATTTCTTCAGCAAAGCAGTTAACTAAAACCCTTTTGATATTCTTCTTCTTTGATCAGGGCTGGCGTCAGGGGTTGGCAGGGCCCAGGCCACATTAGGGAGCCCCCTGCCAATCCCTGGAGCCTCCTGGTTCTATTGCTGCTTCTCCTTGCTGATGCTACCCGTTTATCTGCAAGCAATGAAGTGAGATGATACAATACGATACAATACAATACGATACGGTATCTTTATTGCCATTGTCCCATACAGAACAATGAAATTGAAAAATCTACATAAGACATTCAAAAACCCCTAAAAACTCTGAAACCCCATTTTAAAATACAATATACTATTGAGACTCCTTATACTGCGTTTAAAACGAGAATTGCATTTGGGTAGAAACTGTTTTTCAGGTGGCTAGTCCTGGTCTTTATAACCTTATACCTTCTTCCAGAAGGCAGAAGCTGAAAGAGATCATTTCCGGGGTGTGTACTATCCTGTGCTATCTCTGCAGCTTTCTTATGGCACCTGACAGCATAGATTTGATCTAAGGTGGAAAGAGTGCACCCAATTATTATCTCTGCAGTCTTTACAACCCTGGACAGCATTGTTTTATCCCTGGCCGTGCAGCTCACAAACCACACACAGAGACCATAAGTTAATACACTCTCCACAGTACATGATGGAGAAGAAAGAGCAGTAACTTATTTTTATTTATTTATTTTTTATTTTTTTTGGACAAAATAATAATCATAAATAAATAAGAATAAAAATGTATACCCCACCATTGAAACCATTCCATTGTAACTATCCAACCTCCCAAAATTTCAACCGCTCTTGCGATGGTTTTGCCTCTTTCTGTTTTAACAGTACAAATTCTACAAACACTCTCCATTCAAAACCATTTCTTCTGCATATTCCCCATCTTACCTTAATGGCACATGCTAATTCATCATTAACAGCTATATCCCACACCTCTTTATACCATTTGTTCATTTTATAAGAGCAGTAGCTTATGCGTACTTTGTCCTCTGTCTCAAGAGCCAGTGTGGTGTAGTGGTTAAGAGTGGTGGACTCGTAATCTGGTGAACTGGGTTCGCTTCCCCGCTCCTCCACATGCAGCTGCTGGGTGACCTTGGGCTAGTCACCCTTCTCTGAAGTCTTTCAGCCTCACTCACCTCACAGAGTGTGTTGTAGGGGAGGAAGGGAAAGGAGATTGTTAGCCGCTTTGAGACTCCTTAAGGGGAGTGAAAGGCGGAATATCAAGTCTAAACTCTTCTTCTTCTTCTTCTTCTTCTTCTTCTTCTTCTTCTTCTTCGGGGTTTGGACTGATACAGAGTCATAGAATCATAGAGAGGGAAGGGTCCTGAGGATCAGCTAATCCAACCCCCTGAAATGGAGCTGTCCTTTATGGGGATCAAACCTGCAACCTTGGCGTTATCAGCACCATGCTCTAACCAGTTGCGCTACCCAGTCAAGGGCAAACAAATAGGCAGTGGCAATGGTATTGAGGAGGAGAGCACCCACGAAGTGCATCTTTCCCAAAGCCTCCCCCAAATCCAAAACTGGTAGTATCTTTAATGAACAGGGGATCTCATTTGTACCTGAAGGAGCATCTCCACCCCCATCATTCAGCCCGGACACTGAGGTCCAGCTCCAAGGGGCTTCTGGCCTTCCCCTCCCTATGATAAGTGAGGTTACAGGGAACCAGGCAGAGGGCCTTCTCAGTAGTGGCGCCCACCCTGTGGAATGCCCTCCCACCAAGGAAATAAACAAATATCTGACTTTTGGAAGACATCTGAAGGCAACCCTGTTTTGGGAAGTTTTTAATGTCTGATGTTTTATCGTGTTTTTAGTGTTCTGTTGGGAGCCGCCCAGAGTGGCTGGGGAAACCCAGCCAGATGGGTGGAGTATAAATAAATTGTTGGTGGTGGTGGTGATGTTGTTGCTAATGCCACAAACTGCTTCAGAGTTATCCATATATACCAAAACACAGGAAATAAGCACACAGGGTGAACTTATGCGTGTTTTCTGAAACATTAGCCTCATCGTGTTCATGGTGTGCATAGGGTCATATCCTTAGAATAAGCGTCACATTAAATTGAATGCTCTTAAAAAAAATGTTACTAAAAAAAAAAAAAAACTCCATAAAATGCAGCTGTAGGGGGCTGCCAAACTGCTTGTAGCAGCACTGGATGAAGAAGTGATTAACCTCAGTGCTACATGGTATTTCATCTAAGTCCCACCCTCCAATTGCTGTTGTTAACCCCACTGATAAAAAGCTTTTCCCCTGAAAGTGCTGGGCTGGGGGAGCATTACTGAAAAAAATAATAGCCTTCGATTCAAAATAGCTGCAATGCTTCCCCAGCAGTTGGAGGGAGGGACATAGATCAAATACCATGTAGCAAATAGCTGCAAACCATTTGGCAGTTCATAAAGCTAAAATAAAATTTAAAAATGAGGATATCCAGTCATTCTTCCACAATGTACAGTTTGCCCCTGAGACATACTGCCTATTTAGCTAATTGGACTGTGGATTGATCCCAAACTGGTTTTTTCTTTTTTTTTAACCCATGCATTTTTATTTGCTATGCAATCACCTTTCTTCAGAGTAAATAACTGCCTGGAACTTGTAAGTGAAACATTCAGTTGAAAAGCAAACATCTTAAGAGGAAAACTAGCAAAACAGGAAACTTGGCTGACAGCTTCAGGTTTTATCTGTCAGTTTTTTCTGTGTGTAAATATCAGGAAGAAAAGGTGCTGCCACTATGTAAACTCTGTGGGACAGACCCAAGGAAAAATGAACATAAGCTGAGTTTAGTTCGGAGACTTAAACTAAGAAGAAGATATTGAAAACTTCCTCTCTCGCTGGAAGAAAATACGGAATTTTATCAGATATGGTTGGCTGGCATCTGTCTCAGGAGACAATGGAAGAGGGCACCTTTGAGGGTGAAGTCAACCCATTGGAGAATTATAGCACCTGCTGTGGTTGTAGAGACAGATATGGGAGAGACATGTTTTGTGGCAGCTGGAGCAGGTGAGGGGTTGTCACATTCTTGAGCTCGCATTGAGCTGTGTGAGACACTCTTATCTAAAGCCGAATTTACCTTGCACTCTTCTTCGGTGATCACTCTTAGCCAAGTAAGGCTGTCTACCATAAACACAGTCTTATGGATCCACATGTCCTTCCACAGTGGGGACATGGGTTTCCAGGTGGGAGTTGATCATGATGAGGGTTTGCCAAACATGCCTTCCTCTTAGCCCCTTTCTCCCTTGTGTCCTGAGTTCGAGCGTCTTCAAAGTTCATGACACCTTTGGTAAAGAATGTTCTCCAGATGGAGAGCTTACAGACCAGTGTTTCCCAGTTGTCGGCGTTTATACAGTGGTACCTCAGGTTAAGTACTTAATTCGTTCCGGAGGTCTGTACTTAACCTGAAACTGTTCTTAACCTGAAGCACCACTTTAAGTAATGGGGCCTCCTGCTGCCGCCGCGCCGCCGGAGCACGATTTCTGTTCTCATCCTGAAGCAAAGTACTTAACCCGAGGTAATATTTTTGGGTTAGCGGAGTCTGTAACCTGAAGCGTATGTAACCTGAAGCGTATGTAACCTGAGGTACCACTGTACTACATTTTTTTAGATTTGCCTTGAGAGAGTCTTTAAACGTCTTTTGTTGACCACCAGCATTACGCTTTCCATTTTTAAGTTCGGAATAGAGTAGTTGCTTTGGAAGACGATAATCAGGCATCCGCACAACATGACCAGACCAATGAAGTTGATGCTGAAGAATCGTTGCTTTGACACTGGTGATCTTTGCTTCTTCCAGTACACTGGCATTAGTTTGCCTTCTTCCCATTGATGGAAGATTTTAAAGTGTACTTTGCACTACAATGTAGACCTACAAGAAGAGCCGGGAGCCAGTGCTGCTTACTAAACAAGTGTTGACCCAGATTTGGGAGAGCAATGCTCAACTCTCTCCCCTGCCACAAACCCACTAAGTTGTCCTGATGGAGCTACTTTCCTATTTGAAGATTATCATCTCTTGTCTCTGCATTTAACAGAAGCCTGACATGAATAAATGTCACTAGGGAAGTTCTTTGCTAGGCTGTAGATAAAATGGTAAAGTTTCATAAACTTTATTTCTGCTCTGGGGGCTGTGAATTAAAGCAACAGCAGCACAATGCACACAAAAAAACTTGCAGTCCGGAAGCAAAGGATTGTGGCTAAGGTTGGAGATTCAGTATCAACTCAAACCATTATTATTTTTTACAGAAGAGAAAATTTGGAGAACTTTCTTCCCTCCCTGCACACAACTGTTGAATAATTCCCTCCCCACATAGAATATTCAGTGAATTTTTCCTCCCATTTTGCCACCTGCAAATTGAGTGGACATTTTTCGGAGGCTATCTTTGTTCACCCTTGGAATGCTCTGGTGCCACTAAGCACATACTGTATGTGGTTAGAAGAAGAATAATTCTCCATAGTTTAAACTTGAAAGACTATTGTTTCTTCCAAGGGTCACTTTGGGACACTCTAGGAATTTGAACAGTATGTTGTCGGAATATGTTACGCAACTAGCCAGACAGCAATGTTAACATGGTTACAGTAGATGTATTTACTGGTATGCTTTGTCTTTTTTTCTTTTTTTGCTATATAATTTTTATTTAATTTTCTGTTTTACAATTTAAAGTACTCATTTTTACATCCTTAAATGATTCCCCATCTTCTCTTTCCATGGTTCAGTTTACATATCAAAAATCCCTGCATATTTTACAAAAACTATACCATTCGGTATTCCATTATTACATCCATCAAAACTTATTTACACTGTTGAATTTATTTCCCATATATTCAATAAACGTTTCCCAATCTTCTCTAAATGTATGTTCTTCTTGTTCTCTTATTCTATATGTTAAGTCTGCAAGCTGCGCATATTCTGTCAACTTAAGTTGCCAATCTTCTTTAGTCGGGACCTCGCTCGTTTTCCATTTGGGGGCTAACAAAACACGTGCTGGCAAGCTCGTAACAATACTTTAGCCTACAGAAGTTACCCATTGTCTTTTATATTGTTCTGATCTGCCCTAGGCTTGTGATGAGGGACAGAAAATAAACATCATTTTTTAAAAACCCATGTAATTCTCGGGGGGGGGGGACCATATTCAAAGCCTGTTTGCTTCTTAATGGCTTAAATTTCCATCAATATATGGTATATGATGTTTAAAAGGCCACTGACTTCACAGCTTTTATGTTTCTTGCAATACCACCTCGCCCTTTCTGGGTAGCTGGGAGTGGCATGCTAGCATTACAATGACCCCGTGAATACGACAAGCCTGAGAAATCATGACTAGCTCAAGGCTATCTTCAGGAAAGCAGTTATGTGAATCTGAGTTTCCCATATCTGAGTCCAACAATCATCATTCCTGTGGAAAAGTGGCTAGAGGCACAATAGAAATTTTTATGTTTAATCTAGAAAATATAGGGTTAATCTAGGACTTAATCTAGAAAATATGTATTCCTGGCAGTTGCTGTTAAGTGTATATATTATAGTCCAAAGTAAAAAAGAAAGAAAGAAAAAGTAATTGCATCATTTAAGAATGACATTTCAAGTATTCGTTATTAGCTGCTTTACAACAAAAAATATCCCAAAAGGCATACAGCAATAAAAACAATTAAGATGGCAATAAACATTTCAACAATAAAAAGGTAGCAACAACAGTTAATATAACAGCTGGTAGTAAAATTGCTTCAACGAAAACATAGCAGAGGTTTAACTTTAAATTCTTCAAAGACAACATTTGAAATTGCAATGGGATATTAGCTCCGCCCAAGGAATGATGGAGAACAGCAACAACTGGGAAACGATAAACATAATATTTTACAAGGACAGAAAGAAACATCAAGGACAGAATAATTGCTACACACAGGAAGAACAAGGATATAGTTTGAATGCTTCACCTGTTGATTTATAAATCATTTAATGTGTCGATACAAATGGAAGTCATTAATATTGCAGTTGTTGTATAAGGGATTGCTATTTTGACTGGAGTGTAACTGAAATTAATAAGATTTTCGAACGCAGAAATAAAGTAAATAATCAAACCATCAATTCTAGCACTCAGGGGGCCACCTAAATTATATAATTTGGCATCTGAATGTTTGGTATTAGTAATTGTAGTATAATTTGGCAGTGTTATAATGAGGCTTTTATTGGATTCTTGCAATTGAAAACGAATAAAATATTATTATTAAAGACAACATTTTAACTAGTCACAAATGAAGTTGCCTCCCATGGAGGCTGTTTCACAGATAAGGGGACACAATGGAAAAGCCCCTGTCCCTGAGAGCCATTTGGCTCACTCTAGAAGGCTGGCATAGGGACATGGGTGGCACTGTGGGTTAAACCACAGAGCCTGGGACTTGCCTATCAGAAGGTCAGCGGTTCGAATCCCCGCGACAGGATGAGCTCCCGTTGCTCAGTCCCAGCTCCTGCCAACCTAGCAGTTTGAAAGCACGTCGAAGTGCAAGTGGATAAATAGGTACCGCTCTGGTGGGAAGGTAAACGGTGTTTCTGTGCGCTGCTCTGGTTCGCCAGAAGTGGCTTAGTCATGCTGGCCACATGACCCGGAAGCTGTACGCCGGCTCCCTCAGCCAGTAAAGCGAGATGAGCGCCGCAACCCCAGAGTCGGTCACGACTGGACCTAATGGTCAGGGGTCCCTTTACCTTTACCTAGAAGGCTGGGGTACCCATAATAATAATAATAATAAATTATTTATATCCCGCCCTCCCCAGCTGAAGCAGGGCTCAGAGCGGCTAACAACAATAAAATGATACACATTCTAAAATCATTTCATTATAAAATTAATTCAAATCAGATTAATGGCAACCAAGTGGGCTAGAGTTCTGTGAGGATTGCCAAAGGGGGGAGCCAAAGGCCTTGTGGAACAGCTCTGTCTTGCAGGCCCTGCGGAAAGATGTCAAATCCCACAGGGCCCTAGTCTCTTGTGACAGAGCGTTCCACCAGATCGGAGCCACAGCTGAAAAAGCCCTGGCTCTGGTTGAGGCCAGGCTAATCTCTCTGTGGCCTGGGACCTTCAGGATGTTTTTGTTTGAAGAAAGGCCATAGAAAGTT